GACTTACAAAAATAAAAATATGACACATCCTTATGCATTTCCACCAGTAATATGTTCTTTTCTTCCTTCTCTAACCTTCAAACACTTTTCAGCCCCATCTTCAGGTCACAATTCACATGGTAGGACACTTTGCTCATTTTGATGGCCATCACAGTATCTGAAAAGGAATTAGTGCCTCCAAAGACTTATAAAATACAATGGTTATCGGAGAGCTTTAGGGGAGATGTTCCCAACAGATCAATTTGTGAGTGATCGGGTGATCCTCAGGGAGCAGACTTTACCTGGCAGTAGAAATATGAATATCCCACAACAAGATCCATCATTCCCTATGAAGTGCTCCCCCATCCCAACACAGGGACAGCTCTGTGTATCTGTGCTTGATACACAGAGTCCCCGGCAAGCCTGGGGAACGCTGATGCTCACAGACTTCAGTGGGACTGAATGACTGTGGCAGAGGATGGATCTGATTTTGTTTCAGCTCTAAAGAAGGCAAGGATGCTCTTCCCTGCAGGAAAAAAGGCAGGTTAAAACTACAATGGCTAAATATCCTAGCTCACAGTGTTCACACACAGAACCATTCGCCTCTAGATCAGATTCACGCAGCCTTTAGTCCTCAGTTGGCTCTACAAAGTCTTTTGCTCATTAGCCTTCTAGTGACCTTTCCCATTTTTTTAAGACACACTCAACATAAATAGTAAATAGCATTCACTTCTCTGACCAGCAGCTCACTCAAACACTGCTATCAACACCCAAACCTCATTTCATCATTCCCAGAAAGTACGCACCTAGGGTGCAAATCTGTCTGCATTTCACATTGAGAAAAGTAGAGCTGGCTTAGGAAAAAAAAAAAGAAAAAGGAAAAAAAAAAAAGACAAAAGAAGCGGTAAACTGTTTTGGTCGAAGTTGTTCTCTGCGTTTCGTGCAAAGTATTCCGCAGATTCTGAAAGGTCAATATTTAGTTAGGGTTCCCTCTTTCTGGCCCCAAATGCAATGACAGCAATGCAGGCAGACCAGACACAAGCATGCTCTGTTACATTCGGGGCAAAACAATCACAGGAATGAAGGGGATGAAGGGCAAACCCCGCACCTTTGATATAGTGACTTTCCATATTGAAAAAAACAACCTTCCCTTCCCCAAAACAGATGCCTTCTGAGAAAGTTTCTGATCTCAAAAAAATAACTATTAATGGAAAATAATTCCTGAAGGCAGAGTCTGACTTTACCTATCAGGCTTACAGGACTGTGGGCAACAGGCACATTAAGATCCTGGGGAGAAATCGTGCAGCCACAGTCCCAGCTGCTCAAGGAAACTCACCTTTCTAAGCAGCGTTTCCATTGTCTAAATTTATCATTTGTATCTTTGAGAAAATCTACATGAACAAAGATCTGTTGGTTGAGATGAATAATGCTCCATTTAAAAGAAAAACACCTCTCTAGTGGGACTAATCATTCTTTTTAGATGTACAAACATACCGCAGGTAAGGCACTTCTTGGCTGCTGGAGCAATCCTTAATTGGCAACACACAAACACAAAATTCAGTTTCTGATGTTTAAGCAAAACAAAAAAAAGTCATTGCTTTTCCCAGTCATGAGCAAGATGAACTTTGGCTCTTCAACCACCGCCTAACCCAGCCACAGGGATAGGAGCAATAGGGACAGAGGGTGGGCAGGCAGGGTGGGATGTGTGCCCACACGAGGGTGAAGACCTGACCCTCTGTGGTTTTCTTGTGCCCAGGAAAAACAAAGTCCCTTTCCAACGCCAGCTTTCACTGAGGAGAAAAGCAGCTTGTGATGGGCCCATGGGAGACATCATATAAGAAGGTATTTTTCAAAAATTTCTACAGATCTCAGGCACTTGGCAATGTCACAGCTTGGATGTGGTCCAGGGTGGTAGCCCACCATGGCCTGTCCATGGCTACACAGCTCAAAGTGTGTTTGGCAGCCAAGAAACCCAAGCTGCCAGCTGGCTTTTTTTTCCTGACGTGGCAAAACCAGAAAAGCTGCTTAAGCTCAACGGAGCAGGAGCATGTTAGGTCATTTCTAGTCTATTTGCAGAGAAAAGAAAGCATGAAGCTTCAAAGAGGCCTGGCCTGAACGTGTGGGGACCCTACAGTGCCAAGGATGCAGCCGTCCATTGCACCCTCCCGGGAGTCACACTGACCTGCGAGACTTTGCCTCAGCAGCCCCTGTCCCTGCATGGTGAAAGACCAGGCTGTGGTTCAGGTCTCTCCACTGGATTTGTATTTGCACACTATTTTTCTGGCTTTTTTAAATTTTTTTTTTTCTGTTGCAGCCAATGTTTAGGAAGCAGAACTAACAGTGGACAAAGTAGGCAGAAGCCTGCAGCTGCCCATGAGAAAAGAGATTTTTTGGGGAAAACCTGTCCTGCTCGAAGACTAGCGTGATCAGAAACTGCAGCTTTGTGTTTGGAGCAGGGGAATAATCAAACTGTTAACAGCAGAAAAGCCTGATGTACGGTCAGAATAGGGAGCCTCTGGCATCCTTTCGGCTTAGAGGTCAGCCTGTCTCCATGCTTGCTCAGTGGAGGTGCCTGCAATCTAATCTGTCACCATGCAGGGATCTCCTGGGTGTGAGTATTGGCCCTGCTTTTGAACCTGGATTACACCATTGCTCAGCTTGGAAACCTACCCCCCCTTTGCTACAGACTCTCACAGGAGCATGGAAAGAGCCCTCCAGAGCCTTCATGATCTACCCAGGAAGGCAGATGAGTATTTCCACTGGTCACAAGGCTCGCTCACCAGCACGTGGTGAACCAGGATAGACCTCAAGATGAGCTAGCAAGCAAGTGCATCACCAACTTGCATTGCACTGGGACCACATTCATCCTAGCTTCAGCTGCCCTGCTGTCTAAGCTAACTCCACAGCACTCGTGTTTGCTGGACTCTGGGGAGAAGGGTTGCTTCGGGCATAATAATCCCTTTGGAGGCAGATGTTGCTTTTCCAGGCTTTGATGCTGACAGTCGGTGACAGCAAAATCTGACCAATAACAAACATAATCCTTGTTTCTGTGTTGCTGAAAAGAATTCAACAGTAGGTGGAGGCCTTGGAAATCCTTTGAGAGATTTCTCCCTGCCAAGTCCTAACTCCCAAATAGAGAGGCAGAGCTCATCACTGCCATAGCACACATCTTTCAGTACTAATGATGCTTCAGCTGTCAGAATTTAAGTTTGTATATAAAGACCTTATATTTACCTCTGGTGGAAAAATTGTGCTTCATTTTAAACAAGAGAACTCTGTTTCATAAAGGTCATAGTTCTGGTCACATCTACCAATTGCCTTTTGAAACTGATGGAAAAAAGTATAAGTCACTATTTAGTTTTATTATTTTTTTAAGTTTTTCAATTTTTTTTTTTTTTAATCTATGTGGGTTTGTGCGTCAACTGTTCTGGGCAATCAGCTCCATCTTGTTGATATTGTTAATAGGTTTTCTGACTTGGCTGCTCAGTTGTGTTCTGAAATAACTTGATCAGACTTGCAGCAAGTCAGGAATAAAATGGAAAGTTTAGAAGAGGGAAAGCTGGAAATTAATTTCCAGAGCTGTGTGGTTATTTTCTAAGTCTGGACTCTTCTGAGCAGCATGCAAAAACTCTTGATAAGATTTCTGGAGACAACTCCATGCCATTTTCAAAGGTTATATGTTTGCAGGAACCCAGGTTCTTGCAGATTTTCAACGAGTTACCAAAGTGAAGAGATACTGGGAGATGTGATTAATGAGTGGGGAATGGTTTACCTTAGGATGGCTGTAGTGACTCCTGCTCTCTCAGTGTTTCTTGATCCTTTTGCAGAGACAGCTCAGCTGTTTGTGAAGTACCTGTTGAATTGCTACAGCCTGCCTAAGGAAAACCTGGAGGGATTTGGGTTCTTCAATACTTCAAGCTTTACACTGAGAAAGTTTGGCTGCTACTCCACAGTCAGTGAAGCTGTCCATGCCACAGGTATGGAAACTATTGAGAGGGTGAGCAACCTTGCTCATGAGTTAACCCTGCACTGGCTTCTTTGAAGCTAGATAGCACCTTCCTGTACTACACTCCTCTCTGCAATACAGCCATACCCTGAAACTCAAAAGGGTTCCAAGTGCGTAAAGATCCCTGTATACTGGTTGTTCGAGACAACGAACAGCATGGCACACTTGGATTGACAGTACTTTTGAAAAAGGGCACTGGGCTCCTAAATCACTTGGACAATTTTAGAAAGTAGCCCTTCAGCTATTCAGTTTCCTCAGCCTCCCCTGCATACTCCTGGCTGCGCTCACAGAAGAGGTGGCCATGCATCGGGGTAGGCCTTTCTCCCATCTCCTGGTTGTGCTGTGCCTTGCTATGGTATGTAAACACCTAGCTGCTAGCAAGAGCACCGTCCGCCTGTTTTCTTCCTCTTTTTCTTGGTGACAGTCCCCACTCCTCCCAGTAAGTTAGGCCTGAGGTTACTGCAGCGGTGTAATATTGCAGCTATCTCCCAGATGAGCTGTTGGAGCAAGATGTGATGCATTGATACAAATAACCACCTCCTCTGCATTTAAACTCTAAGAGACCTGGCTTGGCGTATGCTGGGCAGGCTGGACGCTGATTCCGCAGTCGGTCTTCCCTTTGCAGAGATCAAAATAGCTCTGAAGGTTACAGTGAGTCTCACCTATGTGCTAGACGACACCTACAGAGCTCACAAGGCAGCACTCTGCTATGGGTAATAGGGTCCTTTGTCATCTTGATGTCATCTAAACACAAGTCAAAAATAGATATGCTTGGAAAAAAACAAAAATAAAATCCAGATCATGAATGTCAGGAACGTCGCAAAATATAAGCCAGCCTTTCACTGATCAAAACCATCCCATGCCCTGCAAGCCTCCTCCCAGCCAGTTCAGCCTCACCCAAGACGACGTGTTCTCCAGCCATTAATATTCAGTCGCCATCAATGAAGGCCCAGCCAGAGACCCAGCAAAGGCCACAGCCCTCCTGACATCACAAGATTGCCAGCGGCAAGGCAGATCAGAGGGTCTCACTGTAGATGACGCACGGGCTGGTTTCCTCGCAGAGTTCCAGCTGCACACTGGAAGCAAACCAACGCTTGGCACAACCCAAGCTGTAGTTGAGGGTGGTCCGGTAAATGTTCTTGGCACGCTTAGGAAAAATGATGGTCGTGCTCTGAAACCTCAGTGGCTTCTGGCGGGGCTCAAAGATCAGCTGGGACTTGTAGTTCCGCCAGGTGCAATTGGGAGCAGCAATGACTGTCTCACTGTAGGTGGTGACGGTGGGGATGGGGCCGTAGAAGATGTCATCCCGGTAATGCTTCTCGGAGTCGTACTTCACCTCAGAATTGCACCTACAGAGGACAGCAAGGTATCAGAAACACAGCCCAGGCAGCAAAGGAGAGAAGACAGGCAGGACTCCTCTCTAATCCTTTGGAGCTGGGAACCTTTATGACCTCTTACAGCACTGGGACAGATGCAAACCCTACAACCCAAAGTGGAGGGCCAAGAGGACTGCATCCTGCTGGTGCATCTTGGTGGAACCCCACCTTGCTGTGAAGCTACCTCAGCATTTCTGCAGTGCACGTCCACAGAGGACCAAGCCTGCCTGGTCATGCCAGTGCAGAAAGGACCTCATTGCAGCGGCTCCAAGCAGCCTGTTTCTTCCTCTGGTTTCCTCCATGAGCCCCACAGCTCATGAAGGCTTCAGCTCAATCCTGAGAGCTACACTGGAGGCAAACACCCTGTTAGCAAAGGACATCAAGAGGTGGTGAAATCCCTCAGCTGGAGTAGGTCAGAGGCTGAGGAATGGACATTCATCCATGGACTGTGCAGGAAAAGCTTGAAATCCCTGGAAAATTCTTGATCCAGCCTTTTCCTGAGCATTTTTAACAAGCACAGCCATGCAGCATCAACTTGAGATGCTGTGGGCCCCTGTGGAACAAAGCTCCCCTGATCATTGACTCACGGTAGGTCCCACCACACTCCCTACTGCTAGTGTTAGGCTTGGGGGGTGTCACTGCCCCAGTGGCCAGACTGAATAGATGCTGCTGGTGGGCCATGGGCATGGGATGTCACATTGGGGTCAGGGGGAACCTACTTCCCAACACAGCATGCCTGCTGCTGCTTTCACAGGCCCTGTTGTCCATGCAAGCTCTGGCTTGGCAGGAAAATAATGCCATAAATAAGGTTTTCATAGATGGCAGAAGCATGGTGTAATGGACCCTTGTTGAGCTGTCAAGGCTGTGTGTTTGTCTTTTCTTCTTTATATTGTCCTGCCATCAGAGTACAAAGAGACAACCAAGCTAACCAAAATCTGGGTGCTGGGAGATGAGGGGTGAGGTTGTTTGTTGGGGCCTACAGAAAATCCAAGCAATGGTCAAATAGCAGGTGGAGCAAAGAGATGCTGTGGGCTATGGCTGTCCAATATCCAAGCCATCGGTCTCAAAGGAAGTGGCCGTGTTAACAGTCATCAGAGGAAGAATCCACAAAATGTGGGATGTCACTCTCCTGCCTGTTTTCTGCAGGCCTCCCGAAGGGATGTGTAGACACCAAGCCACGTAAAGGCTTTTCCTCGAACCCCTGGCCATGGGGAGCAGCAGGACTTTCACTTGTTTTCCCCACTCCCCAAACGCTCCTCCGGCAATCAGCAGCCAAGGAATGTGCAGCTCCACGTAAAAAAGATTAAAAGCTGGGTGTGTGCTTGTCATTACCTCCACCCAGAGGGGGGTTGACTGATTGTGCTCTGCATGTAATCTGAGCTGCTGTAATGTATTTTGCACAGCTAGGGTGTAAGCAAGTCATTCAGCATACATAAAACAAGTCTCCGATGTAATCACCATGAAAACATGCCCACTGGCAGTTCCTCAGCAAGCAGAGATTTACTAGGGTACATTTCCAGAGAGACATTTGCATAGGTTGAGGGGGGTGGGAACTGGCTTTACAGTCCTCCCACCGTCCCTGCCCCAAGCCGCGTGTAACTGCTCCATGCTGTTTGCAGAGTATATTCCACACCAGCAGAAGAGCGAAAGAAGGGCAGAGACCAATGTTTATCCCTCAGCCACAGCACCAGCCCCACAGGAGGTCAGAACACCTCCATCACTGGCTTGAGGGACCACCTCCTCATGAGGAGGAGCTCATTCTGTTAATGTGGGCTGGTCTAATGTTGGTTTCTCTGCTGCAAGGGCTAACAAAAACAGGTGCCAATTATAAGGGTCTTGCTTCTTCTGAGGATATAAGTCAGCAGGGAACAGGAGGAAGACCATCAGGTTACTTAGTGGAGGCCATCAAGCCTACAGATGGTAATGGTTTTCTCTTATAGCCTTGGATTTGAGCTGGCCTTGGAAGGAAAGCCCTCTTCTCTTACAATCTCCCTCCAGTTCTTGCCTCCTCCCCTCCACGTCTGCTGCTGCCAGTGTCTTTATTTCAGGCAGTACTCTCCCACCTGTCCCTCCCCATCAAAATAACCACGGCTCCCATTTGTAAACGCATTTTAATTTTTTGCAGAAGGAAAAGCACCAGGAAAAAGACAGAAATCTTCATCTACCCACCCAATCCCGTCTGTACCTGATTTCCTGCACGGGCTCAGGGCTGACCTCAATGCTTTCTCCAAAAAACACAGGGTACATTCGAGGCCTCATCTCTGGCATGGACGGGTTCAGGAGCAGGTAAGGCATCTGCAGGGAAGAAGAGCACAGCAAGTGTTGGGACACAACAGATGAGGTTGGCATGGTTCATAATGTGCTGTGGCTGGCAGCTGAGCAGCCAGCAGCAGCATGTTCAGCACTGGCAGGAGACACCAGTGCCTCCAACCTTGCTGAACTCCATCTCCTCGGAGTCCCATGGGAGACACTGCAGGTGACAGGCTCTTTGGCAATGAGAACAGGTGACTGTGGCAGCATCAGGACCAACTTTGTTTCATGCAAGCTAAGCTCGCCTTGCTTGCACTCTCAGCATCATTCAGCTCCCTCTCGCAGTCCCTGCCTTTTCCAGGTTTGTAGCAGGGCCCCAGGTTAGCGGAGTGTTCATCACACCGAGGAAGGCACTCTTCTCCGTGCTCAAAAGGGAGTACCATTGTCAAGTTGCCAAAAAACAGCCTTAACGTGGTCGGCAGAGAACGGGACCATTAACCCCCATCCTCGCACAGACAAGCCTTGTAGAGGCCTTGCATTTAAGATGCCTCGACTTTCTCATTTGCCATCTGTGGCTGTATCAATTTACAGACCGACTTCCAGCTCCCAGGGCTGATGCGACACAGCAGGCTGCCCTCCACCCATCAATACCACCCTCTCCACCTCCCTCTGCCCAGCACATCACCCAGGTAAGTGACTCTGCCCAGATCTCTGGCACTCCACACTGCAGTATCTGTTCACTGAAATTTAGCCCTTCCTTTCCTCTTCCTTTCTTGTTTCTCATAGGAATTGCAATTGTTTGGGGGTTTTCTTTAGCCCTGACGTTGCCTTCGCTGTTACGAATTAACAAGTCTTACAAAGACTCAGAGTGCACCAACATGGAGAAGTGCTCTAAGTCTGATGTAACACAGAGATAGGGCCTAAGTCCGCTGACTTAAAGGATGTAGATCTACTTAAGTGAGATGTGTATATATGTTTTTATATATATACATATATATCTATGCTGAAAATAACGTATCCCTTGCAACGATCCAGCAGGGGAAGTGGTAGACTTGCTATTGCTGAAGTCTGCACGCCAAAAATGGCTGTCATGCTCCAAGGGATGTTCTAGTCAATCGTGCACAACTGAGTGTGGGGTCAGACACTGGGGCACCTTGTGGCCTCTGCAATGCAGGAAACCAGATTCAAGCCAGGACTTATTAATGAATGGAGCTGCTCCAATTCATGACACTGAAAACTGGATTTTTAAGACTAATTACACCCTGAAGTTACTTACTCTGACAAATTGTCACAGTCCAGCCTAGGCTCCTCTGCCCACCACAAAAATGAGTAATCCCACTTCTCCATACTGGAGTGCCCTTAAACATCAGTTCCCACATATAGGGATCCTGTGTCTGGTGTCTGGACCGAGCCCAGCAGCTAATTAAGCCTAATACTGCCCTCCTGGAAAAATGTCATTGTGGGTTTTGGTCCCTGCCACCACTTTTCTGTCAGCAGTGATTTAAGACATGGAGGGACACAGGATCTCTTCAAAGGAGATGGCTGGCAGCGTCTGTGCAGGGTTGAAAGGTCTGCACAACCCTGCACAACCAACCACATAGAAAGGTTCTAGATGGCTGAAAAGCTCACAGAGTTTTTCCACTTTCCACCATGCATAGCCCGATTGTGCTAGAATCACAGCCATATTTCATCAGTCCCTGGTCAGTAAGATCATCTCAGGACTGACAGAATCCAGTGATGGTAGCTGAGGATACAGCTCTTGTATTGGCTTGCTCTTCCCATGCCACTCCTTTCCACCTTCCCCAGCATCTTCTGGTTGGGTGGTACAGGAGGGAACACTGGAGCTGTGACCTGGTTCCTCCTGGCAGTGCTGGGTAAGAGGTACTGCAGCTTGTGCCCTACCCTACAACGTGCAGGTCCCCAAGTGCTTGCCAGGTTATCCCTCAAGTTGGTGTTAACTGGCAAAGCTCTGTTGAGTCCACTCAACAGCATCAGCTCCCACTAGCTGAAGTCTGGTTTTCTCTAGTGGCTTGGGCTTTCTGCCTTAGGCAAAGGCAAAAAAAGTCATTGCTTCATCTGAATTCGCCAAGCCCTTCAATTCTGTGTCCCAAAGCCACAAAGCTGTTTACTCTTTCCATGCTGAAATATCCCTGCACTTTACTACCGTTTTAAACTGTAAAGTAAAATGGCCAACCCCTCTTTTTGATTGAATATTCCTGTTCCATTGTCAAGAAAGGACAGTATTTGCATAGGTTTGGGGGGGGGAGGAAAAAAAAAAAGATATGTTCACCCTCACTACCAAACACTGGCCAAAAGGCAAAGTTCATTCCTGGATTGCTTTCAACACTCTTGATAGGGGAGGGCAAGGGCAGCCTTTCTGGTCATAAATAAAGCTCTTTGCTTCTGAAATGTGAATTGTTTAGATCAGACAAGCCTTAGTTCACAAGGGTGCAGATCTCCAGCTTTTAACAGTCTGCACATGGCCAGAGCTCTTTCTAAAGACATCTTGTACATGAGGAGAGGTTCATTTGGGTGCAGGAGTCAAACGCCATGTGCACATGCATTCATGGGCTCTGTGAACAGCAGGCAAGCAGGCCTTTTGGGGGTTTACCTGCGAAGAGATGCAGATTGCTTTAACTGGTGAAGGAAGAAAAGGGCTGGGGATACGTGTCCCTCCTTCAGGAGACTGTTCTCTTTCTCTTTATACTCCTGTGGCCATACCTGACATTGTTAAAACTCCAGCTGAGAACCTGCCCTGTTTTTACACTGTGCCCGCTTAAGGAGAGGTCTTGTCCAAAAGGCCCCAAACTGGTCTCTGCTTGCAGATGAGGTGAGAAAATTATCACCTCTCCTCTTTCCTTCAAAAAGCTCAGCTCAGCAAAAGGTGTTTCCAGCTTCCCAGATGAAACACTGAATTTGCACAGGGCAGAAAGGTGGACCTTGTCCTGTGACATGAAGAGAGGACCTAAAGGTATGAATACCTCTTACTGGAAAATATTTGAATGTCCTATTTTTACCATGAACCATGACTCTCAGCACAAAACAATGCTGACTTATAAGTTGTTTGGGCTTTTATATCCCATCCTCAAGACAGCGCTGCTGACCAGGGTGCAGGTTTGCAACAGGCTCTGAAGGGAAAGCCCCTGGCCCTTGAACTACCACTGCGTCTTCCAGCACCACCCAGCTTTTTTTTCAGAGGGCATCCACCGAAGCCCACGCCCAGCACCACCCTCCTTCGTGTGATCCGACAGCCTCAGAAAGTGCATCCGGAGTGCTCTGCGCACCCTGCTCTCTTCCATGGGCTGCCTTTGGGGAGCCTTTGTGATGCTCACCTTGGCTGGGAAGGGGCAATAGTTGTCTCTGAGTGTAACCAGCAAGTTGGTGGTTTGCTGTTTCCCGTAACAGGTAAAATAAGTGACAGCCACCAAAGGCAGTTTCACACACTGGTACCAATCCCCCAAAAAGTGGAGAGGCAGAACAGAATTGGGAATGCTTTTCTGTCCCAGCTTCTAAACAACAGATGTTTTCAGGCCATGCTGCCAAAACTGATTACAAACTTAGATAACCAGAAAAAAAGTTGGGAGGCACTGGTCTGAGCCACATAGGCATCCCAACGTTGTCTTACTGTGAGTTTAGCCTATGGGAGTATCTTCTTTACTTCTACTGGCCAGGGACAAGTGAAGATTGGGTAAAATGGAACAGTTGTGAATTAAGCTGCTTTTCAGATCCAGACTAGCTTGTTAGAATGCCAAATAACAAACTTGGATGGATGGTAACTATGAGCTTCTTTGCTAGATTAACGCAGGAGAAAGCCAGATCTCTTAACAGTTCCGCAAAGGGCATCTGTAAAGTGCTGTTTTAAAGAAGCCATTTCAGCGCTTCCAGGCAATCAAACCTTCACACTTCTTGCTAACATATACTGACACTAAGTGTGCTCTAAACATCCCTACAGACGAAGATGCAGGAGGTGAGGTCCTTCCTGTGGCTCAGCAGGAACGTTGCTGGGGCATCCGGCCCCCGGCATTTGTACGGGAACAGGCTTCACAGCCCGCTGTGTGCCAGGGGTGCTGCTCAGTCAGAGCGTGGGCACGGAGGCAAACGCCATCTGTTGAAATCACAAGTCCCACAGCAGGGAACAGGGAACAAGAACATGCTGCAGAAACAATACCAGTGTGCATGGAGAAATGGAGGCTCTGTCATGCATGACTGAAATCAATCAGAGTCAAAAATTTGCCACTGAATTTGGTGATAGCAGGATTAAGTCTTCTCCAGGTTAGTTCCGGATGGAGTGGTGATGAGACTATTTCCATTGTGGGTTATAGTTTACCTTGCTCTGGGCAGCGAAGGGTAACAAAAGGCATTTCATAATGCATTTCATATGCTGTAAACGAGCATCAACTTCAGACGAGCAGGCTTGGCTTGATTAATTTAGAAAGCTGGAACAATAGCGGACATTGGCAAGCCAAAGCCAGCAACTTCTACCACCCGTCAGAGACCATTAGAGATTCACACTTATCTACCACGAGTAGTACTGTGAGCTGCTGCAGGTCAGAAACCTTGAAGTCACCTGGAAGTCTGCACACAGAAGACGTAAGTAACTTACAAAGCACAGTCTAAAAATAGAGATCATCTGTAAGACCCTGCAGTCTGCTCACCAAACAAGCAACTGAATTGCTTGCACAGAGTGAAAGGGTCACTGAACAGTAAGCACAGGTTTTACACAGCAGCAACTGAAAGGCACTTCAGATGACATTTTGTTTCACCTCCAGTGATGTTCTGAAATACCTGCTCCTGCATCTCACCTGGAGTTGGGAAGCAAGGAACAGGGGATATGAGCTTTCCAAAAGATCTGTCTTTGGGGCTGAAATGTTATATGCTTGGCACATGTCAAAAGCTTGCTTTTTGGCAAGAGTTTGACTCCAGCTCCTTCCAATCTGTTTTAAGGTAAAAAGAAAACAAAAATGTTCTGCCTGTCAAAAAAAATACTGACTCAATTCTTTTTCATTCTGCACAGGAATGGTTGAAAGAGGAGGAACACTGGACTG